GGAGAAAATTCAAAGAAGCCGCATACGTGTTGTCCAACAACGCATTTAGCCAAGCTAGCATAAATATGCACAATATTTGAAAACATCCATTCAAGCGGAACACGACCAACTCCCGACAAACAGTCAGCTTCCGCTAAAACCGATGAAGCGGAAAAAGGGAAGTGGGGATGGGTGAAAGCATTCGAATGACCTGACAATAGTCAGATCTCTGAGGAAAAAGTCCAGTTATCACCCGAAGACGATTGTGGATACTAACAATCGAAACGTCGTGAAGTAACTTCGGAATTTTTAAATTTTTAATTTTCATTCCTTATTAATAATTTTTAGGTTTCTGGTTATTGTTTGTATTTTATTCCATTGTGATTTCACGTTTTTTGCTTGATACAATTGGTTTTTCAGCTAACCTTTTTAATGTTCTATAGATTTTTTCAGGCATTTCAAAATAACTTAGATCATATTCAACAATGGAAGTCCGAACTAATGAAGTGCACCATGGAACATTGTCAACCACCTTCAACTTTTGATAAATGAAAGCAAAGAACTTCACAATCAGAGAATTAGGGATACACTGCTTGCCAATCACAACGAGTCTAAATCCTTCTGATCGGTAACTAAAGCTGTTAATCAAAAATCCACAATTCTACCACCAACACAAGCGGATGGTTCAATTGCAACAATAGCCATAGAAAAATCAAATCTACTAGCTGAATAATTTGAGAATTAAGTTATATATAATCAAAAATACTCAATCTAGTCATTTCATAACAATTTATAGTAGTGAAATTATGAAGTATAAAATATAAATATCAAAAATCATGAAGAAAGCCATGAACCTCCATAGCCCTGAATATTTGGAAGGTTTCAACATCTTGAGAGATCATCAATATGGCTTTCGGAAACAAAGATAACAGTCGACTTTCTATCGTATGTCACCCATATTTGAAATAACGCAATCGGGAAACATGGAAGAAAAGAGCTGTTGTGTTTTTTATTTCTAAGACCTTGTGGCATGAGGGTTTGGTGGCCAAATTTCGATTCTATGGCTTGTCGGATCATTTTAGTTACATCTCTCACATCCCCTATTTCATAATCGAATTCCGCAATTGAACTCGCTCAAGTGATTTCTTCCCAGTGGACACGGCTTCCCGAACAGTTTGTATAATAAATTCGAATTGTCCTCCGCATCTAGGGAAAATCGATCTCGATGCCATAGCTAATAATGTTATTACACCGACAAATCGTTATATCCAAACTGTCTTCCAATTAGGAGTGATTGAGAAGACGCTGTCGAGGTCGGGGTAATTCATTATCGTATTCGTTAGGGGGTGAGATTCTGGAGCATCCTTCTTTCAGGAAAAGATGCCGAATGGGGTTTGTGAAATGTTCCTATGAAATTTCAGTATGTTTATAAGTGCTAATCCTGATGAAAGACAAAGAGCTAAATATAAAATGATTATTCAACGAAAGTCATTTTTTTGTGGAGGAAAATCAGATCGTGGAAGGTAACGAATACTCAAAAAAGATCGACTTTTTTTGCGTATTTGTTACCTTCCACAATCTGAAAAATATAAAAATTATAATGGAGAACTTTATGCAAGTGTAGAAGGGCAAACTTTTCAGTTTACCCCGATAAGTTACTGCGTGAAAATCAAAGTATTTTTCACAAAGAAAAATCTGGTATTTATCAGTAACTTTTCGTATTTAACAATTTTGCCTATCCAAAAAAAAGTTAAGAAATAATACAATCTCAACGTTTCGGAGGCCTATAGAGTTCTCCAATATAATTTTTATACTTTTCAGAATGTGGAATGTGGAACAAATACCCAAAAAAGGTTGATAAAAATAAAATTATTAGTTTTTAACCAAAAATATTCAGTGTATTTAATGAAACCCGAGGGTTATGAAGATCGATGACACATCCTCTCACGTAGACGCCATCTATGTGATCAACAGAGAAATCAATCCTCAGATATCAAAGATTATATTATATTGTATTGTATTATGTTTGTTTGAAGGTGTTGTATTGAAGGTATTAATACGCATATGAGTTCAATTTACAAAATAATAATTCAGCCACCTAGAAGCTTAGCTCGATGAATTTGTATTACTCATAACGTTTGATGATTCGTCAAAATTCATCAGAACAACTATTTGCTGCGATTTCGTCGATTGCTTCAACAAAATTGCGTCGACATGTAGGTACACCAAAATCGAAACGGATCTTTCAACTCCCATATCGTTGAACCAAGCAAGCCAAACGACGTTCGAGGGAGTATATCCATTTAGATTAGGTTAGGTTAGGTCCAAAGTGAGTGGGTCTATTCGACCCTCTACCGCAACCCGCAAGGATTTATTATGGCTCACATCTATTCAAACACGGACAAATAAACCCAGCTTCCTAACGAAGCCGATTAGTTTGTATGGTGAGTGGTCTTTCAGGTCAGATGGTGAGAGTACGGCTCTGCCGAACTCTAAAGACCTGATTCGGTCCCCAGCGGGGCAGGCGCAAAGTATATGCTCTGTTAATGAGGTAGTCGGATAGTCAAGTTGCAAGATTCCCACCTTGAAACACACGACAACCTTCCCAAATGAGGGTTTTTGCACGTCAGCTACACCTGACGATGCATTAGATTCACCCGTGCAGGGCTTTTACGCCTCTGGTTTTGGTCAATCATCACTTGAGCGCAAACGTTTGCTAACCTGCTCATGGAGGGTTTGTTCCCCTGAGACAATTACCGCGTACGCCGCAGCTCTCGTTTCTGAACCAAATTTACAGGGAAGTCAGTTGGAGTCGTAAACTCGACATCCATCTCCTCTGTAGACTCGCTCCTAAACTAAATTCACAGGAAGGTCAGTTGAAGTTGTGAACTCGACATCCATCTCCTCTGTAGACTCTCTCCTGAACTGAATTTACAGGGAGGTCAGTTGGAGTCGTGAATTCGACATCCATCTTCTCTGTAGACTCGCTCCTGAACTATATTCACAGGGAGGTCCGTTGGAGTCGTAAGCTCGACATCCATCTCCTTTGTAGACTCGGTCCTGAACTGAATCTGCAGGGAGGTCAGTTGGAGTCGTGAACTTGACATCCATCTCCTCTGTAGACTAGCTCCTGATCTAAGTTTACAGGGAGGTCAGTTGGAGTCATAAGCTCGACAGACATCCATCTCCTCTATAGACTCAGCGTCAGAAAGAATTTTTTAAGTTTACTCTGTCCAAAAGTCCCACGAGTAGTTAGGGAAAGGTCAATCACGGCAGAGCCCCGCATTACCGTGACAAGGCGATGCTACGACGAGAGGGCGCCCGGTATCTCGAAGGTTCCGTAGAGACAGCTGATAGGCTCAGTGTCATAGTATATCCATTTACGCGATGCAATTAGAACTGAAGGAAATGCAGATAATATCGGTTGATAGACTATTCTGCCGGCGACGTACATGGGTATTCCACGTCATATGCATGAATATGCGCAAGATGCAATAACATGTATAACGTATTCTAAAAACACTTTTGTGAAATTTTCACTAGTGAAAATCACACAATAGAGTGTTTTTAGAATACATTAGTTTTGGATTTTCATCAAGTATCGGCCGATTCCATCATATACATATAATGACATATATGTTCGTCATTACGATCGGCCATATCTCTTCATTACTTTATCGTGTAATCCAAAATGGATTGAAACGTCAAGTGATCTTCTCATCACCGCATGTGTATTCAGATAAAAAATACGGACCTTGATTCCTTGATGAAGTACATTGTTGAATAACGCGTCTTGGTGAAAACTCGATGCTGGATGTATTTATCCTGTGAAATGACAAAAGCGAGGCCTGCCGCACACAAACATTCTTTTATGGTTTGTCGAAAAAAGTTGACCGGACGAATTATATAACATATAGAAAATGCATGTTTTTCTCTCTTATGGTCAATAGTACGTGGCATGTTCACACGAGTCGAAAAATCATATGCTTTATTTATTCTTGTGCCTGATAACAAAATGAAAAATGTCAGGGTGTTTCACTGAATACAGTGCTCTCTTCCCATCGATTCCTATTCACTATATTATACTATCATAATAAAAAACTGACCTTCATTAGTTTTTATTCATTTCATTATCCTAAATCTGCTAATTCATTGACTGTTAGGCGGAACGAAGTTCACCGGGTTCGCTAGTATAAAAGATAAATGAGCCTTACCAAGGCGATCTAACATCCGCCTGGCTTCTGTGGAAGAGCTGAAGCGTTATATCAGGGCCGCAAAGGCCAAGAAAGCTGCGGGGGTCGATTCAATAACCAATAAGTTGTTGAAGAGGCTCCCGGATAACTGCGTCGAAAGTCTACTTCAGAAAATAAACGGTACGTTGGCCCTCAGATACTTCTCCAGAAGGTGGAAGCATGCGATCGTTGTCATGATACGAAAACAGGGTCAGAACCTGCTGTTCCCACAAAACTATTGCCCGATTAGTCTGCTCTCGTCGGCGGCTAAGCTGGCTGAAAGAGTCATACTGCAAAGACTCAACGATGAAGTTGAGAACCAAAATGTTCTGCCTGTTCGGCTCTAGTAGAGAACACTCCACTGAGCTACAGACACTGAGACTGGTCGAAAATACCATCGCAGAACTAAATAATAATCCTAAAGTCGTTCAGACATCTCGAAGGCCTTCGACCACGTATGGCCCGAAGGTCTTCTTCATAAGCTAGTCGCGTTCGACCTGCCTCGGGGCCTAATCCGGTGGATTGGGTCTTTCCTGAAAGACAAAGAACAATTCAGGTTAGAGTAGAGGGTCCTCTGTCTGACAACAGAGAGATCCTCGCCCCCTCCATAGGGGGCCTGCTCTCTCCCACGCTGTACTCTCTTCATACCAGTCATCTGTCGAAGTCCAAGCGTGTGAAGAAATGTCTCTACGCCGATTACACGGCTCTCCTCTTATCTTTCATTGGTCGGAAGCTCGGAATCGTCTACATGCAACGTGCATTGGACGACCTCGAACGCTGTTACCTCGAATGGAAGATACGAGTGAACCCAAAAAAGACTCAGGCGATAACCATGGAATTATATCTTCTTCGGGCAGAAAAGTGAGGATCTCTAGAAGGGAGACCGACTGGCAAGCGCAGAAGAAGTACTTTGGTCTTGTAATAGACCGTAGGCTCACCTGGAACCCGCACATCTCATCCAAGAAGGCAATGAAAGCAAAGATCGAGGGACGGATCAAAAGTATGTACCCTCTGATCAACAGACGATCTTAAGTGAGCCTTAAAAATAAACTTACAATCTTCAACATGATGTTCAAGCGTGTCATCATGTATGCTTCACACCCCCATTGTGGAGAGATTAGAAAATGAGCTAATACGGATGAATGTGGATGCTCCGTTGTTCGTGCGGAATGAAGCCATCCGCAGAGGTTTGCAGCTGCCTTCCATCAAGTAGTCAACATGATGTTCAAGCGTGTTATCATGTATGATTCAGGGATCTGAGGACAAGCGGCTCCGTATAACACCCCCATTCTGGAAAGATTACAAAATAAGCTAATACAGATGAATGTGAATGCTCCGTGGTTCGTGCGGAATGAAGCCATCCGCAGAGATTTGCACCTGCCTTCCATCAAGCAGTCCATTGAGTCGAGAAATCGGCGAGTTTTTGATTGTGCAGAAACTCACGAACCCCCTTTAGTTAGGAAAGCTATTGATTATACTGTAGACTATCCCTCCCGATATAGAAGGGCCGCAAGGTAACAGCCGCAAGGGTAAGGGAGCTACGCTCCAACCTGTCTGAACTGAAGATGTCTGTCGAATCCAAGGCGGTCAGTCGTAAAGCCAAGCTTCAACATCGACTACCGACAAGATTCGTCTACTGTCTTCCACTGCAGGGCGACTGGTTGAAAACCAAAGCCCAAACCCAACGCATTTATGATTCAACGCCAGACAGCGCTATTTTGACCCGCGACGTCTAAACAGTGCCTAATTTTGTGGATTTGCTGATGGATTGGTAGGACTGTTACAAAGGAAACTTTCCATTGTCTTTTCACATAAATACAGTGGGCATACTTAAAGACTGACTATAAATGAAATCTTCTAAAGGAACAATTCGTTCAGGTCACTCCCAACTCCCTACACTGTAGGGATTTTCAATTATCGGAAATCATCGACTTTAGGTTGATGCTGGACACTATATTGCACTGACGAGTGGCCAAACAACCCAAAACTAGTCTGCAAGTGTGGTCCAAAATTTGAAAATATATTGCGGCAGTTGTATCGCCAACAGCATATGCAGGAATAACTTCAGTGAATAATCCTGCACTAACACCTGTCGGGTATAATCCAATGACCTTCGTGGTATTAGCCAGAGAAGTAGTTGTTTTCTGATAGGTGTAAGTCCATTAACCTACAATGTAGGTGATTTGAGACTGGCCTGAACGAATTGTTCCTATAGATGATTTTCTTTATTGTCTGTCAAACTTTCGGTAAATTCAATACCTTCGTCAGAACAACTAATATAGATTTCATGATATTTTTTCATGAAGATATAAACATGCAATGAGAGAGAAACTGGAATAAAACGAGTAGAAACATATTTGAAATAAGTCAAACTTTTATACAGAGTTCCTTGTGGAAAGTGAATTGAGGAATATGTACTTCACAACTGATATTCATAAAAAATATCGTGAAATATGACAATCATGTCAATTTTTCGAGCCTATTGCACATTGTGATTGTCATTTTTGAAAATATCTGTTGTGCAAGAATGACATGAAAAGTAAGAGTATTTTTAAAACATTATATCGATTATTATTCATAGAATGGGATTTTATTAAGAAAAAATAGATTCACAAAATTGAACTTTCTGAAAGAACTATAAATATTACTTTAAATAGTCGATATATATTTTTATGTTTATGCAATCCGGTTCACTATTGACTTCTACTATGAAATGAAAAACTTTTTGAACATGTTTATTTCTGAATGTGAAACTATCCATTGAATTTGATTTTGTGCACAGCACAGAAATTTTAATTCGATCGCACTTTTGTGGGAGATTATTCTGTTCAATAAAATTCGGTAACTCAGTTTTGGATATACCTAGCATTTTATATAAAATTTTGACCATGTGATTTGTGCGATCTCTGAAAAAAATCATAGAAAATTTTAGAATAAGTGAATTGTTATTGTTATAACTCCGAATCAAAGTTTGCTATAGAATCAGAAACTAATAATACCATCCCATTTTCAAAAATCAATGTACGAGTGTAACCATCAATGGTAATAATAACATTCATGAAAATATTAAAAATTATTCATTTCCGAATATTGTTGTCCAACACGATTCAAGTTTTCATAAAGTTTTCATATTAATTAAATCATTTCATGTTCTGTTTTTATGGAGTGGTGTGCTGATGCAATTAAGTATTCAAAATCTCCACAGTTTTAATATTTTCGGCATATTTTTATATTTTGTTCATTATAAAATGTTTTATGATATTTAAAGATGAGCTTCCAAAATTAGGTATATATTTATAAGAAGAGTTGATAGGTGAATCATCACCACATGGATTTCTGTTGATTGTGTCAGAATTTGTCATACTGCTAGTATTAAACATTATTTTAATGAGGAGTTGTCTGGGATAAAAATTTTCTTTCAATATGTCTCCAAGAAGTCTGAGAGTTTTTTGCTTGAGGAAAGGTTCCACTAATTTTTCTATCTTCTTTCTCAAACAGCGTATTTTATTGATTCTCATTGAATTTCAAAGGGAGACATAGTAGTTGATATATCATCCTCAATTAGTAGGTTTGATATACCAACCAGTGATCAAGGAATTATCACTTCTACGGGTAACTCTTGTATCAAAGAAAAGGATGGTGTTATTATTCATTATTTCGATAGAAGTTTTGATCAATTCTTTCGACATCAAGAATTTTATGAGATTTGTCATACGGTATTGCACAAATGACATCGTCAACGTATTTCTTCATAAAAGAATTTCAAGACACAGTTTGCGAAGTGTATTTACAAGAAGATCGTCCAGTACGTTTGCAAATAATTGGTTTCAAAATCATCTGAAATATACAGAGTACTAAAAGTCATATAACAAAATGAAAAGTACATGTCATATCAGTTATATTTCAAGAGTGCTCGTTTTATTTTTCTTAAAAAGCATTTTTATCATAATGTCAGTGCTCTTTTCACACTATATTTATAGAACGGCCGGTTTGCTGCGGATTGAAAGGTCATTTGAATCAACCAATCAGCTATGACGACTTGAAAAACATTCAGATCCTGAAAAAATATATAAAAAGTCATTCATTATTCGATAGTCACTCAGCATTATAATGAGGAATTTGAATTTAAACAAATTCAATTGCACCATTTACTCATTATTCACAGATCATGTGATATGATTTATATGGTGACTCATCCACATTGACATTGCTATTTAACCAGTTATGAAAAATCTCAAATTTCAATGAGTCAAAATAACAGTTCAATGTTCAATGTAGACGAGAAAATATCTGAAATTAAAATACTTTAGAATCCCAAAACTAGAAACAAATGCCTTCTAACAAAATGAAATGTGAATTTTATATTAGGAATATTCCAAAAATATCTGTTTCATTTCCTTGAAAAAAATTTTCACCATAATGTCAATATTTTTCATATCAAACTGCCAGGATCCTTGAAAATATTTTTCTTCAACATATCTTAATTTGGAACACTGAAAGATATTGTGGTCTTGAGATCAGTATTGCAAAGTTTTGAATAAATCTTTTCTTTCATTTTGATCGCAATCTATCAGTTCAGTAAATTAAACTTTTCATCTATTCCTGAGAATTGTTACCCAACTATGCAATAAAACATTCTAACAATTTCCCCAGAAAGAACTTCTAATTCATCAACCAATATTTCTTCCTTTGCGTTATCAGTAACGTTTAAGTGCCTACTTAGTTTTTACGGCCTTCCAACATTTTTCTCGCAGGTATTCGAATCCATTTTACTTACAATTTCTTCAAATTGCAGGTCGTCACGTTCGTAACATAGATTCCAACGGAATATCAGTTCTAGGAGCCGATTTTAATCATGGTAAGTAGTAGACTATGATAATAATAATAAAAGTTATAGCGATATTGATACTTGTTCGGGACAATTCTCGATTCCATACACGTAGTATCGTAAAACAGATATTTGCTCGTGATACAGGTATAGCTTCAAAGAAAACTTGCCCTATGAGAAAATTTTCCATTATGCAAATTAACTCTTACATGAGGACGTGACAATATCCGTGAAGTTTAGTGGGAAAAAATCCAGAAATGGTGCTGAGGAAAGCTGAAAAAGTCATGAAGGAACAATTATCATCACATCTATTTATGGGAGTTTAGACAACAACATAGTACCACAACTGACTTTGTAATCTTGGTAAAGTCCACGTCGGGAAGGATAGCTTGTAATATCATCCATTTCTCGATGGAATTTGTTCACAGTTGGTGCTTGAGGGAGCAGATGTCTGTCAACCCCAGCAAAACTGTGGATGAGAAAATTGGAGGATCTAACACCACTTTGCTTCAATGATGAGGTCATTCCATTTGGAACGGAGGTGGAATATATTGGCATTGTCCTTGATAAAAACTCACCTGGAACGGTCACTTGGGAAAAGTGATCGTTTCAACCAGACTGTCCCTATGGACATGTCAATGGATCTGTGGTGAAACTTGGGGTTTAGATCCCAAATCCATTGAATTCATGTGATGATTGTCAGACCAATGACCACTCATGATGCAATTGCCTGGTGGCCAAAGGTTTTACGAAAAACGGCCCAGGCGAAGCTCTCTGGCTCACAGACACAGGCTTGTCTGGCCATCAGTGGTTCCATCAGTACCACACCGTCAGCTGCCATAGAGATTCTCCTAGATCTACCTACTTTTCACATTTTTCTAGAGAGAGAGGCTAAATGGACTGCATATAGACTTCTGCATATAGACTTGTGCATATTGCCAGTCGCACAAATCAGTTTAATGCAGAGTTGGTTGACACTAGAAGTTACAGTATTCTGGAAGTGACTTCTAATATCAACTTCCAACTGTCAACTACGAACTACCTTATAAAGTACTGTTCCCAAGTTAAGAGGACTAGATCCTCCTGGAGAAGGAAATATTAGGAGCAGATAGTTGTTGGTTCACAAATGGATGAAAAACACCTGCCTAGGAACCTATGCGACTGTATTTCAAGCGGAAATCTACGCTATTGAATCGTGAGCGGAGTGATTGAAAGAATCCAACCTCATATACAAGTCAATAAACATATTCTCGGACAGTCAAGTGGCGTTGGAAGCTCTTGGATCCTACCGAGTTACGCCAAAAATTGGCGCAAATTTCCAAACATGACTCGATGGGAAAACTTAACAGATTGTCTCTGGTCTGGATTCCTGGCCATATTAGCCTGGAAGGCGATCAGGCTGCTAACTCCCTTGCAAAAGAGGGTGCTGCAAGCAGCCTCATCGGACCAGAACCTGTCATTGGCATCGTTTTAGGCTTTGCCAAACAAAGATCGAACACTACCTGGATGGCAAATAGATTTATGGGCTTCTGGCAGAATCTTCCAGGATTGGCTCACTCCAAGGCGTTTATTCACCCTTCAAGCTTGATATCAAACAGTTGTTGAACTACAGTTGGGATGAACTACGATATCTAACAGGCCTTCTTACACGTCACTGTCATTTGAATCATCATATGCAGAGACTCGGACTGTCGGATGATGATGGACCAGCAGAGCACATATTTTGTGCCTACCCCGCTGGGGACCGAATCAGGAGTTCAGAGCAGAGCCGTACTCTTACCATCTGACCTGAAAGACACTCACCATACAAACTAATCGGCTTAGTTAAGAAGCTGGGTTTATTTGGTCGAGTGTGAGTAGGTGTGATCCACAATGAACCCTTGCGGGTTGCGGTGGAGGGTCGAATAGACCCTCCACCTAACCCAACCTAACCTAGTAACACAACTGCTCTCATAACAACCAGATACGAAATTCACAGAGCGACAGATAAATGTGAACTGGCCTGTCTGGTTTTGCTGTACTACACCAAAACGTTTGATAACTTAGGGAATCCTGTGCACAAAACTCCGCTCTTCTGTTTTGTCTGATGATGCTACATCTTCATTTATGACATATTTCTCTCACAGTAGCCCGAGTGATATCTGTAGAGAGAAGTTCCTCGGGGTTACATTTTGGGAACCCTACTGCTCAGCATTCACATATCGGACTCATACAAATTCATCAGCAAATGCAAAATACATCATTAAACTGATAACACGCAATAATATTTTTCATTTCACAGGGAATCTGCTTTGAAATAATTTTAGTTACACATCGACATACAAAAATCACCACTTTCAGTCGAAATTGAAAGTCTCAAATTATACTTTGATTCAAGACTGAAAATGTTTATTTTGAGTTCATATAGCAGTTTGAGGCAGTTGTATCCACTTCGAAACATAATATTATTTTCATGAAATCCGACACAGTTTGATGCACAATGTTTGCAATGCCTATAAAACTCACCATAACAGAGCTTGAAGCTCTGTTATGGTGTCCGTAAATTCGATGATACATCTTAGGCTATAAAGCACTATGAATGGGCTATTCATAAATTCACATATATGGTCTTGACTATTCGAAAACCAGATTATCTATTTTGTAAATTGAAAATGTTTTCTGCATTCAAATGCAGGGGTTGGCATGAAAATAAAAAATCGCTCGGAATACGCGCCGGAAAACACCGCTCGGAAATCGCAAAGTATGTCACCGGCCTAGTACATATAGTATCCATTAGTTCTTCCATCGATCGATAGGATGATCAAAAAAGCAGGGAGAAAGACAACTGGACAAGCAATTATTTCAAATATTCAATATGAAGGTGTGTCTATCTTTGATGGTGTATCAACTTTATTTCTCAGATGAGGAGCGGTGGCCATCGAAATTACGTCGTATGTATATGGAAGATTTATGATGCAAATAAATCCGTTTTTTTCTGTGAATGAATGCAATCAAAATTATTCCGTCATTATGAGGGAACATGCTCCTATTTTTGATCTCGTTCTCGTGAAATGCAATACAACCGAATTGTTCTCAACCAAGTTAGTTTTTGAAGCGCGAATCATTCTCATGCTTGTGAAACGTAAGTGATCAAAACTCAAAAACTGTAGCAGATACTGTTAAATTTTATATGGGTATTCGGGTTGTTCACCGAGGTATATTTTCAGATTGGCATTATTGAAGGTTTCTGCTTCTGTTAGAGCAGAAATTTTCATACCATAATTCATGGACTAATTTTGAGTATAATGCCTAGAAGTGTACTTTTCTCTGAAGGCCTTCAATTCCACATTTTAGCTATGATAGTTATAAAGAATTGAAGGTTTGGACTTCTACGTCTGATGAATTGTTAACAAATCTACACTCTGAAAGAAAATAAAGGTTGTGCTGAAAACACTAAAACAAAAACGCTATTCGAATGTATGTAGCCCGCGAAATATGAACATCAACCCCAATTCATAAGAAACCTTATCAGAAATATTCAAAAATAGGCTGGAACTTATATTTACGGAAACCCATAAGAAGTAATTATCAAACAGTAAATGTCCTCAAACAACAAGACTCATTCGAAAACATCTGTTCGTTGCGGTGCATTCATTCCTTTGAATTCCCGACTGCAAAACCACATAACCGGACATATGCGGTCTCGACATCCACCCACAATTCCTTACAAGAAAAATCCAACATCACATCGTAAGTCCGACTTGATGATTTCCCATTATTCCATTCTCTAGCTCACTTAGAGGATCCTTAGCATCATATGAGTGTATATAAGAGCAACAAGGGTCTCTCCACTTTGCCCTTTCAACGTATATTCCCTCATTGCTATTCAGCTCCTACGGAAATATGGAAAGAGAAGCTCTTGAATTTGTAGATTCGCATGATTTATTCGATACGAATCGACATTGGTCTTCCAGCCGGTGGAAGTTTATGGTTGGTCGTAGAAAATGTATAAACGTATAGTCCGGCTGCTGAAGTTAAATTAGTTCAGGAGCCTGGAATAAAATTTCAATTGTATATGAATTAATTTCATTCAAACGAAAATGTATTTATCTACACATATACTACTGTGGAAATGAAAATAGTTCACTATATGCCAATATTCCAAAGTTACTGAATTTGTAAACCTACATGCATTTGACGTCATATTTCTTACAATGTGATAGTATTGTCAAAACAACATTGACCACAATAGATTGAATACGAATTAACAAAAAAAACAGCATAATATTAAGGAAGTGTCACATTGGTGAAACCACAAAGCAATATTTACTATTTTCTGATTATGTGGACTGTATTTCTGTATTTCACGGTGTGATGGACAATAACTTTCGACAATTCTTTATATTCTTCCAATGACGTATTTAACTCAGGAAGACCTAGAGTTCCCAGGCTACATCTAGGTCTTCCAACTGGAACCACAAATGTGCGGTTGGCTCCTGTTTTTGACTACGTGTTGTGTTGTTTCCTACTTTCGGAAAACGAGTGTTGCCCATCTTTTCACTTCACACATATCCGCGGTTTTCCCCTTTTATGGAGATAAATAGATAAGTACTATTCTGATCACTCCCATATTGATTTCAATTCAAGAGCCACCGGTAGTCAGCTGTTTCAGCCTATCGGGCATCGTCAGTTCCTGGCGGGCGGTCCTCGATTGAAGACAAAATGTGAATAACCAAGAAAAGTAATTGATAAAACTAACTGTGTAAACGCAAGTGAGACATGTATGACAGCGATTTACATATGAATGGAGGTGTAACGTTGTGGTGTTTAACTTCCTCATTATTTTGAAAGATTCTGTTCATTAAAGATTTGGTATAAGAATTCTGGATAAGAATTTTCCTGAAATTTGATGATCTTCTGTTTCGTGAATCAGAAACGGTAATTTCAATCATTCTGTTTCTAATGATTCCATTCAATTTATCTCCATCATATTTGGATGACGAGAATGGTAATTAATGAATCTGTTACTAGATATTTATTCCATCTGATAA